GAATCTAATTGTTGATTTATTCTTTCATGCAATCTTTAAGAGCTAGAACAATGGTTCTAATGCCAGAAGTAAGTTGAGTGAAGATTTTTATTAGTTATTATAGCTGTCCATGAAACTGCAGTGGGCTATATCTACATGAATGATTATTTAGATGTGGACAAATATTGACTGATGACACATGAATTTCAGCTTGGTTTGTTGGATTTAATATTTTATTGTAATTTGTAAGAAGTAAACTGGGTGTAAGAATCTACAGCCTCCCTTCAGACTACTGAACTGCACATATCTACTGTATCCATGAAAAGTAGCACATTAGATTTGAGTTGGTAATCAAGATCTCATGGATATCCACAAACATCCAAACTGTGAAGTGTAGCATCAAATGGTCTGTTTCACATAATCCAAAAGTTTTCAGGCCCCAGGGCAAACGAACAGGAAGATGTAAGGTGAAAAGCCTATTAATATGCAAACCAATGTCCTTGTGTGGGCAAGCATGATCTTACTGTTCACTCAACTGGCTACTCCTGACCTGACCATTTTAGCCTATATTAATCTGACCATTTACACACTAGAAATTAACCTGATGACACTTTATCCTACATATGATTGTAAGTAATAGATTGGCTGAGATCATCAATGAACAGGATCAGATAGGGATAAAAAAAAGTAGTATTTGATGCAATGCCAAAAAAGAAAATGACGCCTGTTTTTATCATGATTTATTCAAATGATAAAATGGAGAGAGAAAAAAACTATAGTGTTAGATAGAGGAGAAGGAATGTGGTGATTACCTTAATGGATATGTTGCTCTTATGTTTCTTTAAAATCTCTAGAAGCACTCTAGTCCAATAACCTCTATAACTGAGCAGACCAAGATCAGAAAGAGGGCGCTCCGGTGTCCCTACTTTACCTTCCTTCTTAGAAAGCTCATAGGCTGCAATTAAAAAAAAATCTTGAACAAAATGCTACGATACAGTTATGATTCGGTGTGCATGGGAACTAAATTTTATCAGGCATAATACAGAGCATAAGATCTTACAGAAGGCAATCAGGAACTTCCCATATCCTTTTCTTTGATATGGAGGGAGAGTGAGGATGCAAGCCAAATTGTAAGATTCCTCAGAGTGTTTCTCCTGGATAATGATAACAACCAATATGAAACATCAAATGATTCACTACTACTAATAAGAAATACATCTTGCAAACAGAAACAGCGCCACAAATATAAATTTCAGTTCATTAAAACAAAGAAATAAGTAATATTCATTACAGAGAAGCATTGTGAACTTTACCTTGGAGAAATACCCCACCATATGACACCCCCGATCATCACATTCACACAGGACGTAGAACAAAAACAAATCAACATCGTAATAAAGTGTCTTGTGATCAAGAAATAGTTTGGCAAGATAACAAAGGTTCTGCCCATAAACTTTGTTCTTCTTGCCATCAACCTGCAATTATGCAAACATTTTTCTTATTAAAATATTAAGATAACTAAATGAAAAGGAGAAGTTGCATGATTTCCATTCTGCTTTTCTTAAAACTTTTTAAGGCATTATGCCAACAGCAGAGAACTGGTTTCAGAAACTTGATCAACATAGCATGCAAGCTGCCATTACAGGAAGCTAAAATGGATATCGAACTAACCTCAAACATAGACAGGGTTCCACTTCTGTATATTTCATCACCAGGGGGATGTTTAAGATCACATTTTTTCTGTATAGTAAAGAGAATGGAATTAATCATTGATTATGACTTATGATAATTTAACATGGAATATCAGAACGCTATAAATGAAACATGTGCACAACAAACAAGATATAAAATGCATTCAAAGATGATCATAGATCAAGTGATCAACTCAGGAACGGAATATGCTGCACATGCAGCGAGGTTGATCTGATTTATGGTATTTGTAATGTCAATAAGTACCAGCCATGACTTGAGGACATTTAAGGAGATTTTTCTGAGATGCCAGAAACATAAGTAGTGGGGCAGAGGGGTTGCATTTTACTTATGAAGTTCGTTGTACTAATTATTAAATGGCTGGCGACACACAACAGTTGCAATCAATTCAGAGCTAGGGACCACTAGAATGGCAAAACAGGCATTTTTTAGAACCCACAAAATTCACAGTAAACAGTATAATTACTGCAGCTTTATGAGGAAATTCCTGCAATACAAACAGGGCCTTTTAAAAAAATAAAGATTAAGAGAACATGTTTGGCACCTAATGGTACAATGAACAAAAAGTTAAGATAGATGGGCCGAAAAAGCACAGGAGGAGCTAAACAAGTGCAGGCAGATTTGAGCTCATACTCCCAAATTTGCATTAGCAGAGCCTGGCTGAAAAGATAGTAACCCTCCATATGGGAACAAATAACTAAATCTCACCATGTGCCTCTGAAGCTGTTCCTTGCGCTTCATGAAGTTGAGGCAAAACTCACAGAAGAACAGCTTTGGAGAGTCATTATACTCCGGTGGGAAAGGAGAGAAATACCATGTATCTATCTCATATCTCCCAAGTTCTATCTTCGCTATATTTTTCACCTTTGTGAACTCTTCATGTTCCCGCAAACTAGCAGCATCAAGCTCCTCATGACCTTGCTATAATGGAAATGGACACAAAGCTAGATTAGTTTCAGGATACTAATTCAAAAGGGAAACCACAATTACAGTACAACGTGAAGAAGGAACCAACATGTGTTTCATCAATTTTTGTAGCCATTGCATAGCAAACTAACATCCTTACAGATAATAAATCTTCAAGAACAAATGATAATCAAATTATCCACAGTGATACAATCTATTCCATACCTCCACATGGGTTTCATCAATTTTACGCTTCTGGTGCCGTGTCATCTTCAAGCTTGTTGCCTGAGTACATATTAAAATGGAGTTGTATGAGTATTCTTTTGAAATAACAGAGGGCTATTTATGTCTTAGGATGATCATCTCAGGTTTTCAACCGTCACCTGGACAGTATAGCGGCCAATATAAGGAAAAAGCAAATTCTACTGGTATGATTGACAATTGAACAACATGAATTTATGTTACCTTATCTTCTACCTTCTCATCAACATCGGTCTCAACAGTCTCAAGATCAAGTTGTTCAAGTTTAACCCACTCATCGAGCCTCCTATTGACTGCAAGTTCATTACATTTAAATACGATTGGTAAGCATAAATATGTCAACATGACAGAACTCCACAAACCCACAACAGAATACGCTGCAGCTGTTATGAAGCACTAACTCCTATTTCAGCTAACGAAATCGGGTAAAAGTTTGTGATTGTACTGAAACTATTGAGACACGAGACTAGAACGGCCATTTCCGGCCCCAGCGAAAAGCAATCCTATATTCCCATATACAAATTCATCACTATATCACCTCGAATTTCATAACCCCTAAACTAATTGACCATTTAAGCCCCAGATTCCCTCAATCTGAAGCACCCTAAACCTAACCCTAGAAACGAAGCATCCTGTTGGGGGCGAGGTCGCTTACACTCGGTGTAGTGGACGTAGTACTCGTAATCGGCGGGGGAGGAGGAGGTGGAGGACTTCCGGCGCTCGATGACCTTGACGGGATGGAGCTTCTGGTCGCGCCACCGGCACATCACGCGCGTGCCCACCTCCAGCGGCAGATGCGACGCCCACGACGCGGACGCGGCGGAGGACCTCAGCCTCCTCTCTACCCCGCCGCCGTTCGAGGCGGCGGCGGCGCCGCCGCCGCCGCCCGCGCCGTTGCACGCCGTCGAGGCCGCGGCCGCCGCGGCGGCGGCGGTGCCGTTCTCCGGCGCGGTGGACGCCTCCATCGAGCCCATCTCGTCGTCGGAGTTGGATCGGAAGTTGTGCGGTTTTGGGGCTGGGCCTCTTGCCCCGGATTTGGGCTTTGGGTTAGATCTTTATCATCTCCGTCGTGTGGTCCGGTTGGGACGCATGGTTTATTCCGTGGGGCCCACATGTAAGTGACAGAATGATACCGTCTCGGTTGTATTTGGTCTGTTTGATCCTCCCCAAATTTGAATTGGGTCAACGGATTTGAAGGCCCAGCTCTGTTTTAACTTTAAACTAATTTAGTTTTATTGCCGAATTTTTTTTAAAAAAATACTCCCTCTATTTTATTTTATAAGTTGCTTTAATTTTTTACTAGTCAAATTTTTTTTGAGTTTGATCAAATTTATCAAAAAATTTAGCAACATCTAAACCACCAAATTAGTTCCATTAAATTAGTTTATAATTTTATAGTTTTTAAAAAGTTCTATCAAAACATAGAATGAAACGGCCTACTTTTCCAATTTGGTGTTTGGGCTAACACACTGACTTACCAATTTGTGAAGCAGATCAATAACTATTTTCAAATCCAAACGATGTTCTCATTCCTAATGATGTTCTATTTCTTCATTGGGATTTACAATTTGAAAAGAGTAAAGAAATTTACAAAAATTTTAACGATGTACCTTGTTGGATCGAAACCATTTAGGAATAAGTTCACTTTGGGTCTCTCTATTTGTCGTCCAGTCTGATTTTCGTCCCTCGATCGCAAAACCGGGTACAACAGGTCCTCTAACTTACGAAACCGTTTAAATAAGTTCCCTCAGCAGTATTTGACCCCGGTTTTAGCTGAGGTGGCGCCTACGTGGCTAATTTGACTCGGTTTTCATCTGACGTGGCATTGACGTGGCACTTACGTGGCAATTCGATCCGAAAAATAAAAACCCTATGGGACCCACATGTCAGTTTCACACACATAATTAAAAAAAATGGTGGGCCCCACGTGGACCCCACCTGTCATCCTCGCTACCCCTTCTCTCATCCCCTCTCTCTATCCTCTCTCTCCATCTTCTCTCTATCTCTCTCTCTCCCGTGAGAATGGCGGGCGCGCCATAGGGGCGGCGGCGAGGCGGCGGTTGGAGCACTGTCGCCGGAGCCGGGGATACCGCCGCCGCAACTTCCGCGTCGGCCACCACGTTGCTCCCATCCACCTCGCGGAGATGGAGCATGCGCCGCTCCTTGACCCCGTCGAGCTGCTCCGGGGAACGCCTAGCGGTCGCTCCCCCACGTCTTCAGCGACGGGAACGACGGGAGGAGCGTGGCCTGGTGGCGAGCGCTCGACGCCGCTGCCTCCACCGCGGCGGCGCCATCCGCGACGGGATCCGGGGTCGAGGCGGGGGCGGCTCGGCGGAGATCACCATGGCCGCGGGAAAAGCCGCGATGATGAACACGCGCGTGGAGGCCGCCGTCACCTAGACCTCCACCGACTCCGACTCCGGTGGCGGCGGCGGCGGGAGAGTCGGCCGAGCGATGAGGGTCAGCGCGCGGCGGCCGGCCGAGGAGGGCCGGCCATGCGTGCTCTAATCACAATTTTTTTGATGGTTAATTTGCTAGTATTTATCAGTCGCCTGATTGATTTTTAATGTGCTGTGTTTAATTTGATGGTTAATTTGCTAGTATCGAGGCTGCGTGCCCCGGCGTCATCTCCTGCGCGGACATTGTCGCGTTCACTGGCCACGACGCATCGAGGTACATGAGCAACGGCGGCGTCAAATTCAATGTCCCGGTCGGCCGCCTCGACGGCATTGTCTCGTCCTCCGAGGTCGCCCAAAATATGCTCCCTGACTCCAAGGCCGACTTGGACAAGCTCACAGCGCCAACTTCGCGGCGAAGGGATTCACCCCGGAGGAGCTGGTGATCCTCTCTGGCGCGTACTCCATAGGCAAGGCGCACTGCTTCTCCTTCAACGACCGCCTCACCGAGCCGAACTCCGAGATCAATGCCAACTACCACGACAACGTCCTGAACAAGACCTGCTACGCCGCCCCGAACGAGACGACGTTGGCGAACAACATCCGCGACATCGACGTGGCGACGCTGGGGCCCCGGCGCCAGCGCTCCACCCGCCGCTCCACCCGCGGCCTGCTGCCTCACAGCTCCGTCGCCGCCCCTCTGCGCCGCCCGCCGCTGCTCGCCATTCTCAGGGGAGATAGAGAGAGGGGATAGAGAGGAGAGAGAGAAGGGGTAATGAGGATGACAGGTGGGGTCCACGTGGGCCCCACCATTTTATTATTATTGTGTGTGAAACTGACATGTGGATCCCATAGATTTTATTATTTTTCGGATCGAATTGCCACATAAGCGTCACGTCAACGCTACGTTAGATGAAGACCAAGTCAAACTAGCCACGTAGGCGCCACCTCAGCCAAAACCGGGGTCAAATACTGCCGAGGTACCTTATTTAAACGGTTTCGTAAGTTGAGGGACATGTCTTACCTGGTTTTGCGATCAATGGGCGAAAATCAGACTGGCGACAAATACAGGAACCCAAAGTGAACTTATTCCAACCATTTACAAATGGAAGGCCTAAAATAAACAAGGCCCATATGGCCCACTCAGCTCAAATCAGGCTAAGGATAATCCCCTGTCCTTAGCCAGAGCTTCGGCCGCTCTCCTCCCGGACACCAGCGCGCCGTCGAACGTCGCGTAGCACCAGTGGTCGCCGCACATGTACAGCCCGTCGCCGACCCTCGGGTCGCGCCCCGCCGGCGAAGTCGGCGGCGTCTGGTCCGGCTGCGCGAAGCCGATGCGGTACGTCCTCAGGTGCGTCCACGACGCGACCTCCCCGGCGCCGAACCACCCGGCGAGCTCGGTGACCACCTCGCCGGCGAGGTCGGCGTCGGACCGCCCGGCGAAGGAGCCGACGAGGGATACGGACACCAGCGACCTCCCCGGCGGCGCGTACGACGGCGCCACGTTGGTGGCGAAGAACATGTTGTTGACGATCCCTTTGCCTGAGCCGTTGAGGAGCAGGATGGGGTCTTGGACCGCCGCCTTGTCGGCGGCGAAGTAGAGGCAGACGGTGCTCCGCTCGGAGTTCTTCTTGGGTTTCGCCGGAATCGTTGGTAGCTGCGGTAGGAGCTTCTCGGCCTCCGGCTGCTCGACGGCGACGATGACGCCGAGCTCGCCGGAGACGGTCTCGCCGGTGTCGAGCGTCACGCTGGACTGGCCGATGGCCGCGGCGCGGGAGTTGAGGCGGACGGAGCCCGCCGGCAGGCGGTCCGCGAGCTGCGACGCGATGGCGCCGATGCCGGCCTCCGGCAGCGCGTTGTCCCCGAGGGCGAGGCGCTTGAACACGAGCTCGAAGAGGCGCGACGACGTGTCGAGCGCCGGGTCGAAGAATATCCCAGCCAGGAACGGCCGCAGGAACCGCTCCACGATGGACGGCGAGAACCCGAGCTTCTCCAGGTGCGCCGCCGTGGTCGTCTCCGGCGACGAGAGGATGACGTCGTCCGGGGTGGACGCCGCGCGGAGCCGGGCGAGGCCGACGAGGAGCTTATCAGCGAGCGTTCCGACGGGGGAGAACACGGCGGAGAGGGAACGCAGAGGAAGCCGGAACGGGTCAGACAACAGGTAGAACGGCTCGCCGGCGCCGAGGAAGACGAGCGCTCCAGGATAAAACGGCCGGAGCCGCAACGCCGGGAAGTCAAGGAGACGCCGGCACTCCGGGTAGGCGGTGAGGAAGATCTGGAACCCCCTATCCAACCGATACCCATCGACCTCGTCGGTGGCGACACGGCCGCCGAGGCGGTCCGACGCCTCGAGCAGCGTGAACGGCACCGACATGGACGCCAGGTGGTTCGCCGCGGCGAGGCCCGCTAGCCCGCCACCGACAATGACGGCCTTATTACCACCGCCGCCGCCGCCGGTGGCGTCGCTCCCCGGCGCGGCGGCGCGGGTGACGGTGAGGCGGAGGGCGGCGGCATGGTGGCGGCGGAGCTTGGGTGGCGTGGCGGGGAGGACGGGGCGCGCGGCGTGGACGTGCATGGGCGTCGCGGCGGGCGACAGCGAGTGGCGGGAAGCGCGCGCGCGCGAGGGAGGGAGAAGACGAGTTTGGGGTTTGGGTGGTGTTCCTGATTTGTCCATGGACCGGCTGTGGATATGGTGGTTTCGGTGCATGGACCCGGCGTTTGGATGGGGAGCTATGGGTTGACGAGACTGCGTGGTGGGGTTGGGTGTAGGTGTTCTGTGTGGACGTCCGTAGACTGGGTTCAGGGAAGATTCGTCATGGAGCAAAGCGTTATCCTCTCTCTCTGAACTCTGATTTATGAGATGAAGAACAGAAGAGGAACGCTCTGATAGAATAATGGTTCAATCCTGGAATGCTATTTTCTCGAACCCTCTTTTACCTCAACATTTGTAATGGTTTGCCTCCGGCAATGCCCGCTCCCTGTAACCCCAAGATCTTTCTCTTAAATGCAATGGAAGATTCAAGTGGGGAACATATCCTCTCCGGTGATTATTAAAAAAAAGAAGAAGAAGATAAACAGGGTAAGGCTAGTTTTTCTCATCCGAACACATAGTATATAGACAATTACGTACCCACGCACATTTGTATGGGCGCATGTACACATGTAGCTAGCCAAAATTTAAGATTGATGAAATTACCCCAAATCCCTAAATGTCGCGTCGCTAATAAGTGTCGCCTACCACTAAAATCATGATTAGCTATGGATATAAACATCTGTTGTCGACTGATATCTAGGTGGGTAGATGTTAATAAGTGTCGCCTTCCACTAAAATCATGATTAGCTATGAATATAAACATCTGTTGTTGACTTATATCTAGGTGGGTAGATTCTACTGCAGGTAACCTAAACTGGCTATCTTAGGCTCACAGTTTGTTTAGGTTGGTTCCAGTGGTACCGAAATTAAACTTGTGAATCTCAGACAAAATTTGTTAAAAACAATAGATTTTTGTAAACTTGGTTGTTCCACGTGATCAATACCATTTGCCACGTAAGCAATACTTTTGCCACATCATCATTCACGTAAGAAAATCATTTTGGTCATTTGTAGCATTTCTTATACTTTAGGTTTGTGTTTGGTTTGGAGATGAGATGAGATGGGTTAGGTTTATTTGTATTTTGGGGATATGATGGACCTAGTTTCTATTTGGTTCTAGGAATAGAACGGACCTAGTTTTCTGTTTGGTTTGAGGGATATGATGAGTTGGAATGATCCTATCTCTTGTGTTGGTTGGAGGGATGTAGATGGATTGCTTAGATATAGTTACCTCTTCACATTAGTTGGTGAGGTCATACACAACACAAAATATTGAACATGAAGACCACATCATTTGAAAAAAAAAATACATTCATATGACTATATTTGGAAATAAAATACAATCATATCATATAGCCAACCAAAAACCAAAGCAAAATACCGATAATTAGCATACATCAATCCTTATATCAATGTAAGCATAGGAAGTTCAAGCCACACATAATAAGGAGTTCCTTACTTTGGCTATAGAGGATGATGGAGGATGCGAGGAGCAGTAGCAGACGAGAGAGAGGATGGCACTAGGACGCTGTAGTAGGTTCCCGCAATCGGTTTTTGCTTCTCGCCACCACCACCACCGTCTTCCCTTCCTGCCGTCGCCGCCAACTATGAGATGAGGAGGGGGAGTGGCGAGAGAGAGATGGGAGGAAGGAGGACAGAGAAGGGAGGATGGCACGGGCGCCACTGGCCCCATCGCATGACACCGGCGTTGCCGGCTGTTGCGCGCGATGGCGCCGCCATCACCCTCTTTTTTTCTCTCAATCTAGATGGTGATACGGTGAAGGGGGAGAAAAAAGAGATAGGGTTACCCTATCCCACACATGTGTAACACATGTGATGCGCGACTCCGGAGGTGAGATGGAGTGATCCGCTACTTTTTTTCAAGGGCCAAACGACCCCGAATGTAGGGAGAATATTCCTTTTTGACCCAACTCAACTCATGAAGTCCTTCAACTAAACACCAGTAAATATAGGATGGTCCCAGTCCAACTCACCAAAACCTTGCAGCTAAACACATGCTAAGAGTGTAATTAATTCAGGGCTAAACTATGTCATTCATGCATAGGGTTATAATATGAAAACTTCAAACCTAATAGAGGGTTCTAATATAATTTAATGTCTTGTTCTAATAAATCCTTATAAATAAATACGTGACGGAAGGAAAGTAAATTGGACTTATGTTAGCAATTAACAACGGCAGTCACACACTCGCACACACTTTGAATTGACGAAGATGAATAATAAGTTGGCGCACGTAAAACGAGAAAGCTACTAGCACATAATTAATTAAATTTAATTATTACGACTTAACAATTTGATATATTTGATATTTTAAAATAACTTCTAGTCTCTCCGGTTTCAAAATTATTGACATTTCGAACATGATCTCACATACCAAGCAGTGATTTATTAAGATATCAATTTACTATTTTACCCATATTAAATATAGTATTGTGCTCTATTATCTTATATATATATATATATATATATATATATATATATATTCTTGTGCTAATGGTAATCACTACCGTTGGTTTGAACCAATCACCTGCATCGGTGCGAGGTAAAGATCCAATTCCCTAGCTTTTTTACTTGGTTTTTATTTGCATGCATGCAGGGCAAAGCAGTCCAATATAACATACTAATACAAAAGGCGTCAACAATTATCAATCACTGTTTAGCCCGAAATTTTTGGGCTGATACGACTTATCGTTTTAGATAATAGTGAGATCAAAATTTAGAATATTTAATTATAAATTATTTTTAAAATATTTGTCTTTCAAATATGATGACTATATGTATAGATTAGTCTTAAAAAGTACTTTAATAAAATCAAATATTTATTAACACTTTATACATATTATAATGAAAAATAACGGTTAAAGTTATTTTTTAGAGATCGTGGTCTTATTCAAAACAATAAGTATTATTAATCTGAAAAGATACCAGACTAATTTTTTGATTGAAGGAAGTATATAAAAAGTTTTAGCACGAAATTCACATCTAGTAATTTGAAAAATGTGGGCACAGGAAAAGAACAGGACATCCGCAGCACACGAACCCGCCCGCCGCGGCGCGCACGCGTGTCGGTCTTTCCGCGCGCCACACGCGCGTTGCTCTGCTATTACACGGTTACACCCCGCCGAACGTCGCGGTCTCTCCTCTAATCATGGACAAGCGAAACGTTAAGCAACAACACGCATCACGGATTAACGGGCCCTAAAACAAAAATCAAACGAAACAAGAGGGCTCATCATCAAAACTAAAAGGAAGAAAATAAAAGGTGAAGAGGAAATTTCTTGAAAAGGTTTTCGTTGCACGACGATCATCAGTAAAGTAATAGAGTATCTCGTCCGTTTATGGTGATGGACGAGAATATCGTACAGGTTGGCTACGTGCCTACTACGTCGCGTAGACGTCTCCAGAGCATCTTTCCTTTCTTTCATCCTCCAGAATATGATTCTGCTCAAAACTTTCTACGATCATTTCGTTTTGAAGCATCCAACACCACTGTTTTTTTTATATATATTTTGCATTTTTGTACTCGTGGCTATTCATATCCATGAGCACAAGGCTTGTTTTTTATATTCTTTTTCTTATCTTCCTTTTGATCGGTTGGTATTGGTAATGATTGTACATCATTTTTGCGGTTTTACATGGAGACCCATCTATCTGTTCTGATTTGTATGGCTTATATTTTTACTTCTGATTGTGAAGTAGTCTCTTTCGTGGATCAATTTCTTTGAACTAGTAAGAACTTTTCTTTAGAGAAAAATCGTTGATTGTACACTAATAACTATTTCCTCCGTTTCATATTATAAGACTTTCTAGCATTGTCCACATTCATATGCATGTTAATGAATCTAGACGACATATATGTGTGCCTAGATTTACTAACATCAATATGAATGTGAGTAATGCTAGAAAGTTTTATAATCTGAAATGGAGGTAATACAGTTTGACAGATCAAGGATATGTCTTGATGTCATAATGTTAGTATTGATTTATTGTCGATGTGCATCCCTTGCATCTAATTTTGCTCAATCAACAACTTTGGTTTTAACTCGCACAATGCTTGATTCAAGAAAGAGATTAACAAATAGAAAATGCTTTTGTAAAAGGTTAATGCTAGCATCCTCTATTTACCAGGAGGAGTATCACTAGAGGTGCTATATTTAATTGAAATGAACAAGTCAGCCATACTATCATGCGAATCAAGTTGAAGTTGACTCCTCCAAAAATTATTCCATTAGATAAAGGAAGAATTAATCCATCAAAACAAATTGCATGCCGTACAAGAAAAGGTCAATTGAAAGAGGTCATTTTAATCAATCCATTTGTCCTCTTTCCATGTTCAATGGCCATCCCCGATTCCCCTCTTTAACTAATGTTTGAATAATTTCTTATTTACACTTTTACATAAAATAATATTCCATTTTCTCTATTATTATAATTCTAAAAATACCTCCAACAACACAAGTAATCAGAATTACATACATCGTCCCTTAACTCAACGGGAGACGATAAAAAGATCAACAATAACAAGAGAAGATGTTTACTGCAATGCTTACAGTCAGCGTTGGATTTAAATTTTAGAATCTAATATCGAAGAAAAGTTACTAGATAAACTATTAACCCATAACCTCATCGATATTTACTCTCTTATTATACAGTAATAATACAATCTTAATTCATCATACCGAGTTATCCAAAAAAAAATCATCATACGGTAGAAGATCATCATCATTTTATAATTCTTAAAAGACACACACAGACAAAAAAAAAAAAAGGATAAACAGAGAAAGTAAAAGTTGTCCAAACTCGACAGGGAAAATTTGCAAATAGGTCCCACAACTTTTTTCAAAATTTCCTCGTGCGCGAAAACAACCTCACCAGACACAAAAAATACTCCCTCGCTCCATTTCCAGCACTACGGCACTACCCATTTCTATTCCTCTTCACCTCGCGGCGGCGGCGCGGCGAGCAATCGGCGCCTCTCCTCTCGGTCTACTCTCCTCCGGCCATCCCCGTTCATCTCTACTCTTCACTCCATCCTCCTCCACTCCACCGTACTGCCCTGGGGTGCAGATCAATCGAGACTTGGGGCTGATTTCTCGAGTTGGTGACGAACCCTAATTTCGTTTGGATTGTTGCAAGAGGTTTGTCCCGCCCTCTCTCTTAGCTGCGAGCGATCAAATTGGCATCGTTATCACTGGGATGAGCGCACCGATCCATCGAGTTCGTCGCGGATTTGATTGGTTCGCGGCGGAGCACGAGTAGCAGTTCATTTCCCCCACGTTATGTCCAGCCCTGGAAGGAGTGGGTTCTCCCCTGGGTTGGCGCAGTTGTTATCATCTAGAGATGAAGCGAAGGTTAGTTCCCAGAAGTCGCACTTGGTATCGTACCATGACGAGATTGGGCACCAGGATATTGAGAGGACGCTAGAGCATATATTTGATCTCCCTCACAAGTCGGTGGTCCGGCCTCCGGGTCCGATTGATGTGGGATTTGTGCGCTCGGTATTGCGGAATCAGGCAAGGAAGTTTGATCTTGGCGGGAAAGATAGCCGTAAATACGATGATGGTGTTCTGATTGTGGATAAAGGTGCTGGGCAAACTAAGGTTGTTCTTGATGATTCGAGCATTTGTGGCAAGTTCAAGAGCATTTGGGGACCTTTGCTTGTTGAGAGCTCGGCATCATTCAGCAGCGCTAGGGCTAACACCTGCGTGTGGAATGGCAAGTGGATGTATGAGGTTACCCTGGAGACGTCCGGAGTGCAGCAGCTTGGATGGGCTACTCTCTCGTGCCCCTTCACTGATCAGAAAGGAGTTGGTGATTCTGATGATTCATATGCATTTGATGGCCGGCGGGTGACCAAATGGAACAATGATCCAGAACAATATGGGCAGATGTGGGCAGTAGGAGATGTGATTGGTTGCTGCATCAACTTGGATGCTGGGGAGATCAGTTTCTACAGGAATGGGAATTTTCTTGGTGTTGCCTTTGATGGGATTCGCAAAGTGGGACCTAGGAAAGGCTACTATCCTGCAATTTCTCTCTCAGAAGGTGAGCGTTGCCATCTGAACTTCGGCTCACATCCATTCAGGTATCCTGTAGATGGGTTCAATCCAATTGAGGCACCGCCACATTTTTGTATGTTTGCGGCATATCTTCTTAGATGTTTGTTCCGTCTACTAGAAGTTCAAAATCTGGAAAAATCTGAATCTGCATACTTCGAGAAACTAAGGAGGGTCAAGAAATTTGCACCTTTACGTGAACTATTTCGACCAATTTCGGAAGGGATATGTGCAGAATTTTTCGGTGCCGCTGAAGGAAGCCAAGGGTGTTCTGAATATATCACCTGGGGATCTTTCATCACCCTTCTTACAGATGTTTTCAGGGTACGGGAGCCGCATGATTTCTTATGCCTTGACCAGGTTCTTGAACTTTTTCTACAGTTCCCGGGGTGCAGTTCATTACTGCAGGAGCTCATTGTGGCTCTTTCTTGTATGTGCAAAGCTGCTCCACTTGTGTTGACAGAATGCCCATTTTCTGGACCATATCCATTTTTAGCGCTGGCTTGCCACATTCTTAGGCATAAAGATGTAATGCATCTATGGTGGAAGTCAGAAGATTTTGCATTCTCATTTGAAGGATTTCTTACGATGAAGATTCCAAACAAGCAGGACTTGCAGTACCTTGTACCTTCTGTTTGGTGGCCTGGGTCTTCTGAAGATGAGGTTAGCATGACATTATCGATGACAACACTCTCCGATGCAATTAAGAAGGTGAACTTTCTCTCTCTTCCTTAGTCGCGCAGAGAAATTCTACTAATAGATGATATCTTGAATTAATTATGCCACTGTTATAACTTATTCTAGCATATGCAATTTTCTGCTATTTTATGTTGTTGGCTTGGATTTTTATTATTCTTCTCAACTCTTGGATGTGCATGCTATGCTATTTGGTGATTAAAATTTGTATTACCCTGTAACTAGCCCAGTTTGAAATCCAGACTGCCTTTTCCTTTAGTTTTCTCAGCGTGTTGCTTCCTTGCTTTTGTGCACTTGTGTACTACCTATTATTCTCCTTACTTATATGTTCAATTCATCCAAAGTTTATGCTCTGTTCTATTAGAGATTAATGTTTTAAAATTTTAACTACAAACATGATCGCTTGCAAATAGATAAAACTCTCTCCCTCCATTTCTAACTCTTAAATCTTTGTTTGTTTGTTATGGTTTGCACTGTTTTTCTTCTACAGATTGAGGATAAGCACCGTGAGCTTTGCAGCTTGGTGATATGCTTTGTTCCACCAACGTCTCCCCCTCTGCTTCCTGGATCTGTGTTTCGGTCATTTGTACAAAGTTCAATACTAAAGGTTAGAGGTGGAGATCATAGGATGGCTTCCAGTGGGACTTTCAATGACACGGTGCTTGTCTCACTGTACACTGTAATCCTCCATTTGTTGTCTGAAGGATTTTCTATGGATTCTTCTGGACCTGCATCATCCTCTAGAATAAATTATGGAACTGGTGTTGGATTTCTCCACAAAGGTGGAAAGCGGAGGTTTCCTACACAGTTATTATTGAGGAATGATGCCTATTACAATGTAATTCCTAGACTCGGTGGATCACTAAATCACCTGTTGATGTTTCACCAAATTGATGCCAATGAAGATGAGGTGCAGTGGGATGAAGGTTGCATGAATGATGAAGAAACACGGATAACACACACTACAGCACAAAAACCTTGCTGCTGTTCAATCACAGATGTCACTGTTGGCCTGAGATTTAAAGAAAATGCCAAGTACATACCATCAACTTCGAAAGGCCCATGCAAGTCCATGCATGAAAAATCTGCACATATTGCCTCTGAATGCAGTGTGAGAAGTCTTAGTAATGAGATTGAAGACAAACCTATCACAAGTGCTCAATCAGAAATTGAATATGGCTATCAAGCACTACATCATTTAGAAAGCATGTCGATGACAAACCAATTTTCATCAGAAGCACTAAGAGAAGAAGAGTTGCTTGATTTTATGCTGCTGTTATATCATCTGGGTGTCTCACCAAATTTTAGGCAGGCAAGTGATATTATTTAATTTTTTCTTGAATTAGGTGAACAAATACAATGCTGCAGCAAGGATCCACCACTTTGCTTACATAGAGATCCTCAGGATCCGTAAACATTACGTCATGTACTGTTCTTAATTCATAATCTATAGGGAGTTGTCCTTAATTTATGCCCTTGCACATGTACCCAAGAGTTTAGACACCATGTGCTTTCCTTATGTATGTGAGCTGCATGGCCAGTATGTGTAGCCATTTTCTAGATAATGGCATCACTTTCTGCAATACTATTTAGGGTGATTTGAGGATTAGCCACTCCCTGATCATGAAAGCCACTATTGGGGAGTGGCAAACCATTAGTCATCTATACTGTTTAAGAACAGGTCCAGATGTGCTAAGTACTTCGGTTGTTCATTAGCTTATTTAACTCTCTTAGAAAAAAAATGAAGCACGCCAACCTGGCCAGTCCATGAGGGTATATTCCAATGCCACTTATCCATTGATGCCTGCCAGTGCACTAGGATACTTAATACTTTCATATTCTGCTTTACATTATGGTTCTGATTAAGTTTGTTCTGTTCAGGCATTCTATTTTGTGTCCCAGCAATCACAATCCATTTCTTTACTAGAAGAAACTGATAGGCAGATAAGAGAAAAATCATGCATGGAGCAAGTAAGACGCTTGAAGGAAGCCCGCAATAGTTATCATGAGGAGTTGGTGGATTGTGTCAGGCATTGTGTTTGGTATGATTTCTGAAAGGACAAATTATTATGTCTTCACATATTGCATGACAATATGAAAACACTACACTTCTGCCGTATACAATATAATTTAGATCATATTTTCTTCTGAATGATTATACGAACATATTCACAAACATATTCCTGTTCAGTAATTTATTATGTCGAAATGGATAAAAATATCCTTGAAGCTGGAGCTTCTTGGAAATATATTTACCTTGCATAATTTAGGAGCCACCTTCTAACTCTTATAGGTGTTTATAATGCTTGTTCTTTTGCTTTCCTTGGTGTGAGTAAGATTTTCCCACAGGATAATTTGTACAGACTAAAGTTGATGAAACCATTTTGCAGACTAGAGAGCTAATTTGTTGACTCGATATATGGTACATGCAGGTATCGTGCCACTGTTTTTTCTTCATGGAAGCAAAGGGGAATGTATGCAACTTGCATGTGGGTTGTGGAGCTTCTTTTGGTGCTCAGTGATTCTTCTTCCATTTTCCACTATATTCCTGAATTCTATGTGGAATCATTGGTAGGTTTGAAGCGCCCATTTACAGCCAACTTGGTTATTTGCATTGAAACAATATACTGAAGCCTGCACTTCTGTTGTTTGTACAGGTAGACTGTTTCCATGCCCTGCGGCGGAGTGATCCTCCTTTTGTCTCTCCTGCAGTATTTCTTAAGCATGGGCTAGCTTCATTTGTATGTACAGAAGCGTCTTAATGATTTTTGACTCATTAATTATGTCCATTCTTTCTTGATAAGGCACCTAACCACACCCATCATTCAGAACCTTTAAATCCTGCATTACTAATGTTCTTGCTGGTTTACTTTAGTAGCAAAAATTGTGAGGTTGAATGCGTATAACAGGAAGTTTGATGGATTCAGTGTTTTTATGTTTATTTTATTTCACAATAAGCAACACCCTATTGCACAGAACAAAATAAAACTAGCTCACTGGTAGCTGGCCAAATTGTGGGCAAGTTTCTTGTTTATGTTTAGCATTATTCAGTGTTGCAGTATCAACTAAGAGCTCTATTTTCTTATCATTAGGTCACTCTTGTTGTCAAACACTTTGATGATCCAAGGATAGTGAGTCCAGACTTGAAAGATCATCTTCTTCAAACAATATCGATTCTTGTACAGTATAAAGAATTCATGTTTGTATTTGAGAACAATCGGGAGGCTATAAACAGAATGCCAAGATCACTTCTGTCAGCTTTTGATAATAGATCATGGATACCTGTTACCAACATACTTTTCCAACTCTGCAAAGGTTTTGGCTTTGCTTCATCTAAGAATGTTGAACCTTCATCATCTGCAATTTTCCAGGTTTATTTTAATATTACAATCACTTCTGTTATTATATTCAGTCTTCTATTTCTGCTGTGCATATCTTACTGTGTGATTGTGTGAGAACTATCTATTTGATCTTACATTGTTTTTCTTTATGAAGGTCCTACTCAGGGAGACATGTATTCATGAAGAAGAACTGTTTTTATCCTTTCTCAATCGACTTTTCAACACATTAAGTTGGACTATGACCGAGTCCTCTATGTCCATCCGTGAGATGCAAGAGAAGCGCCAGGTGGATTTTGTTTTGTTTTTTTATTCCCCTTTGTGCAGAACTTCAACTCTTTGCTGATTGATGCTTTAGTGTCGGGTTTCATTTTCAGTTCAGTAACACCAAGCTCTTTTCTCATGTGTCAAAATGCATTAAAAAACTGAAATATATCTAGATCTGCGATGAAGGTGTACACTAATAGGATCTCTTGACAACAATCAGTTCCAGTCATTAGGTTTCCAGTTAATTGCTTTTTAAATATTTTATGCCAAGGGGGGGGGGGAATCTGTGTCATTCCTGTGGTATAACCATGCATGTGGAGCTAAATAATGGTAATCAATGTCCTATTTTTCAGGTTGCAGATTTGCAGCAAAGAAAGTGCAGTGTTATTTTTGACATATCATGTAGTCTTGCAAGGATTTTGGAATTCTTCACCAGAGAGATTCCTCATGCATTCCTGATGGGGCCAGATATGAATCTGCGGAGGTTGGCTGAATTAGTTGTCTTTATTCTGAACCACATCATATTAGCAGCCGATGCAGAGTTCTTTGACATGTAAGTCCACATCTTAATCTGAAGTCTGAAAACTAGCAGAGTTGTAGTTCTTTTTAGTTGAGACAGTGATCTTTAAAGGCTGTTTAATTTAGTGTCAGAATCTAAAACGCATTGCTTCATTGTTGATTTGAGCTGACTCAAGTGTGAACCAATATTGTTATATCCTGGTAATATTTGTTCACAGTAAACCCAGATGCTTCCTCATTTGCTTATTCAGCTAGTAATATTGTTCCTGAAAATATAAATGGACATTGTGTTAACCAGTTAAAAATTTGTGTCTGCAGGACTCTAAGACGGCCAGGGCAACATCAAGAAAAAACAAATTGCACTATGATCTTGGCTCCTCTTGTTGGCATTATCCTCAATCTTATGGAAAGCAGCAGTACTTCAGGCCATAGGGAGTTAAATGATGTGATTACAGTGTTCACAAGCATGGATTGCCCTGCCACAATCCATTTTGGGTTGCAGTACCTACTGAGCTACAATTGGGTTAGATTTCTCTCTTGTACTTTCAGTATCCGTAGGTTTACTTGGTCATTACTAAAAATCTAGTTAGACTGCTTATTTGCGATTAATTTTTCGTTGTATGCTTATTTTTCGTTGTACAGAGCAATGTTCTCCGAGGTGACGCTTCCCTTGCAAAGCTAGCTCAGCTTGAAGAATTCTCCCATTACTTTATGCACATCACTATGTCAGCGGATGGCAATGAAGAGCAAGGTTTCAGCACTGCCAGTAATGAAGAGGACAACTGCTGCATATGCTACAATTCCGATTCGGATACCACATTCGAGCCATGCCATCACAGGTCCTGCTACGGCTGCATAACCAGGCACCTCCTCAACAGCCAAAGGTGCTTCTTCTGCAATGCAGTGGTGACTTCAGTTACCAGGATAGCTGATTCGCGCATCGAATCTCGGTCACCTTTGGCACCGTAAACCCGAAGAGAAGAAAGATGGATCATGCCGGATGTCTTATCCATTTTTGCTCGATTTGGAGGCGCAGACAGCTCGGAGCCTCGGAGTTCTTCCCTTCTGCTTTCCTGGAAGACTGCATCGCCATGGTGGTGAAGTCAGAAAGGTTAATCTTTTCCCTTGTGTAAAGATCAGGTAATAGTTAAAACAAAAAAAGATTCAATAACAGGATTGCAGAAGGAGGCTTCTGCACAAGGTGGGAAGCCAGTACCACCCAAAGAAGGATTCACAGAATCGTGAAATTTTTGTAGGTTGTAGGGAAAAATTCCATTGTAAATACGAGATATGAAACAGAAAGGAGGTGTCAGATCTACATCAACCTTTTGTAATTATGTAGTTAAAATAAAGAAATACTAGATGGTTTATATTGGAGGGACCTCTAGTTTTTTTCCCTCGTATATGTTGAATAAGAGCCTCACTATTTTTCTTATGCTTACAAGGCAAATTTTAAATTATAAAACTTAATTTTATAGTTGATTTTGTGAGTTTTTTCATCTTAGTTTATTTACAATATTTGCCTTTAAATCGCTAAATACATAATAATAAAAATTTTACTTAAAAATTACTTTTAAATTGCTAATGAACGGGTTTGCGTGAACATTAGCGGAAACAAATGAGACCTCATGCTTTAAAATGGGTGTATTCTAAAATGCGTAAACGGCTAGCCTCGTGCAGGGGCCCACGTGCCAGAGGAGGGCCGCACACCTACGTGCGGACCCCACCATCCCACGGCACCGTCCACGTGTAGCCGTGCAAGGGACGAGACGAGACGGGAGGAGGGGTCCTTGTCCCGTGATCCGACGCCTCGTTTCCCGGGTCGCCCGCCCGACAGGTGGGCCCCACGTGTCAGCCCCCCACACGCGCGGCCAATATCTCTCCTCTCCTCCATTCCCCCCCCCCATTCCTCCCTCCGCTCCCCCACCGCCTCTGCCTCCGCCCCCGGCGATGGCTACCCTCTCCCTCCCTCTCCCGCATCTCACCCAGGCCATCCCCGCGCGAGCGCGTCCGCGACCGCGACCGCTCCGTGGGATCCCCGCGCGGCTCCTCTCCTGCCGCGCCGCGATGGCGGTGGCGCCCGACAAGGAGGAGGCGGCGGCGGTTGCTCTGGACAAGGCGGTGAAGGTGGCGGTGGCAGCTCCCGACAGGGCGGCGGTGGCCGCGGTGGGCGTCGGGGAGGAGCTCCCCGAGGGGTACGACCAGATGATGCCGGCCGTGGAGGAGGCGCGGCGGCGGCGAGCCGGGGTGCTGCTGCACCCGACCTCGCTCCGCGGCCCGCACGGCATCGGCGACCTCGGCGACGAGGCGGTCGCCTTCCTCGCCTGGCTCCGCGACGCCGGCTGCACGCTCTGGCAGGTGAGTGGAGCTTCGCATTATCGCGCCCATGGCTAATCGAATCTGCTCGCCGATTAAGCCGCGATTAGCGTCTGATTAGCGAGCTTAATTGCGTTTTTGCGTTCCATTTGCGGGACCCACCACGGTCAGGGATGGTGGGCCATGGAATGCGCTCTGGGCCCTGGTGGGCCGGGGAACGAGACAAAATACGGGGGCCCGGCAAGTGGGCTGCGAGTGCAGCCGGGCCTACTGGCCCAGTACGTGGAGCAAGCATTATCGTCCATTCTCGCTGAAACATACCGATTGTTGTTTGGTACTGAGAATCTGCGAGACCGGGACTGTAGTTGTTTGCTGATTGAAATGCTCACATCTTATCTGCTGCTGTCATGGGATGTGTCCGTCCTGATTGTCATAGCAACGGATGGGAATGTGCACCAAATCACAAGGTTGTTAAATCAGTGCTGTAGCAAACAGGAAGAAGAGTTAGGAGTATACAGTGTTGAAACATGTTATTACTATGTGGTAGCATTCATTGCTTCTGGCCATGCTTACAGGTTCTTCCGCTTGTTCCACCGGGAAGGAAGTCTGGGGAGGATGGCTCTCCATATTCAGGACAGGTGAAACTATATCCAGCTAATCTTGCATATTGTGTGGCAATCATCGAATGGAACTTATACGGGTACACGTTGCAGGATGCAAACTGTGGTAATACCCTATTAATTTCACTTGAAGAGCTTGTAAAAGATGGGTTGTTGATGGAGAATGAACTACCTGACCCCTTGTAAGTTTGAACTCTTTAATGATTAACTGGAAATTCATTTCTAAGGTTGGCGTCAAGCATTTACATTTTTAAATTGATGGTAGGGATATGGAGTATGTTGAATTTGACACCGTTGCCAATCTGAAAGAACCTCTTATTGCAAAGGTTAGTTTTTCATGACTGTTCACTTCAGCATACCTTTCTGTTTCCTCCGACTGGATTTGATTGTTCTACTTCTACACTTCTACTGAGTTCAAACAGTTGAAATGTGTACAGCAATGTTACTACTACTGAATTGATGGAAGCGAATCATCGCATAATTAAAATTATAGATAAATCTTTTCTTCTAGGCTGCAGAGAGGCTCCTACTGAGCCGTGGAGAGCTCAGAACGCAATATGACTGCTTCAAGAAAAATCCAAATATTTCAGGCAAGAAATCTTGATTTGCTAATTTCAAACCATATTGTCTTAGTCTTCCATACTCTTAAATGAGAATAGCAGATACAATATTGTCAGCAAAAAACTGGGTAACACATCAAGTACAAAACTGCAACCTATTAAACCTTTAGTATAGGCATCAATAAATAGCTAGTGTTCCCCGCAAAAAATAAAAAATAAATAGCTAGTGTTGCTATGCTAGAAAGACCATCAGATAGGTAAACTGGCTCAAATCAGGGGTCAGGTGGTCTGCTTTTACAAATACATGCCTTTTCCAACTAAAATGAAAATAGCAATGATCCTGAAATGTATGCCTGAAATAATATACACAGTACAGTGCCTTAGTCGTTCTTTCCTGCCAGGTTGGCTTGAAGATGCTGCACTTTTTGCTGCTATTGACAGAAGTATTGATGCATTATCCTGGTATGAGTGGCCTGAACCTCTGAAAAACCGACATCTCAGGGCCTTGGAAGACATATATCAAAAACAGAAGGATTTCGTAAGCATTTCAAACTATAATATTTTCATTGCGATGAATTATTACAGAAACAAATGCCAGTGGACTCATCTACTTAACTTGCTATGCAGATAGAGATATTTATGGCTCAACAATTCTTATTTCAAAGGCAGTGGCAGCGAATTCGTAAATATGCAAAGAAGTTGGGTATCAGCATAATGGGTGACATGCCCATATATGTTGGCTACCATAGTGCAGATGTTTGGGCAAACAGGAAATCGTTTTTGCTGGTACACCTCAATAATTTTCCCTCATAGTCATGTGTCATCGGATTCTTAAAATGCTATACATTCTGTTTCTTGATTGTTTTTTCTGGTGTAAAGGACAAGAATGGTTTTCCGACTTTTGTTAGTGGTGTTCCACCTGATGCATTTAGTGAAACTGGTCAGCTTTGGAACAGGTAATCCTTTGCTCCCTGTCAATGTGATCAGGAAAAAAGTTGAATACAATTAACAGCATTTCCTTTGTGAAACTTGCAACTTTACAGTCCATTGTACGACTGGAAAGCTATGGAAGCAGGTGGATTTGAATGGTGGATAAAAAGGATTAATCGTGCCCTTGATTTGTATGATGAGTTCCGTATAGACCATTTCCGGGGGCTTGCAGGTTTTTGGGCAGTTCCTTCTGGTAAACCAAATACATCCAGCTAGCCTGTCTACATAATAGGAGTACATATTTTTGGGTAAATAGATTCAAATTTCTAATTTGTTACCGGTGCATGTAGAGTCAAAAGTAGCGCTGGTTGGAAGCTGGAGGGTGAGCATTGACTTGATGTACATGCTATCCCCCTTATTTTTTTCAGAAATATTTGTTGCTGATGTACGCTTTTCTGTTTTTCTTTGGCAGTAGGCTGGACCGAGGAATGCATTTTTTGATGCATTATTCAAAGCTGTCGGTAGAATAAACATAATAGCAGAAGACCTGGTAAGCATTCTTTTTTTTTTACATTTATCTAATAAAACCATGATTGGTTTTTCTTTTGTGGACCAATATGGAAGTAGAAATTCACATAATTTCTCCATAAGACAAGTCTTATTTGAGTCAGCTACACAAGTTTTATCTGCAACCAGACATTCATAAGCTACTCAGCATTAGCTGTAGATTGTCAAAAATGTGATTTAACTGAGAATTCCTCATAATAATCACGGGTTAATATAGTCGAGAATGGTTCTACTCAAAACTTGAAACATTTAATTCTGACATGCTTATGCTTTATCTGATCATCTCATACTATTTGTAGGGGGTGATAACAGAAGATGTTGTTGACCTAAGGAAGTCTATTGAGGCTCCTGGAATGGCAGTTCTTCAGTTTGGTAATGTTCCAAAGCCAGATTATGTGTATATTCTCTTTTGAGAAGGCATTGTGAGCATACTTGAATATATAGATTCGATGTCTAAATGTTCGTACTCCCACTTTTATGTGGTCAGCTTTTGGCGGTGGTTCTGACAATCCACACTTGCCCCATAACCATGAATTTGATCAAGTAGTATACACCGGAACACACGACAATGACACGGTTAGTTTCTAAATTATTCCAAAGCTGTCTATTTTCAATATCTTGTCAAGGGCTGCTAGCGACACAAGCATACAAAGAATGCTGACGCTCTTCAACCATGTATTCCTCAGGTTATTGGTTGGTGGCAAACTTTACCAGAGGAAGAGAAGCAGACTGTTAGTGTCTCCCAACTTTCTTAAATAGGCATATTACACTACCTTCAACCATATTGTCATATTCACGCCTTCTTGTTTCAGGTGTTCAAGTATCTGCCTGAGGCTAATAGGACTGAAATCTCATGGGCACTGATCACTGCTGCCCTCTCTTCAGTTGCAAGGACATCCATGGTAACCATGCAGGACATTCTTGGCCTCGACAGTTCTGCTAGAATGAATACTCCAGCTACACAGGTTAACAGCTGCATCCAATCACCTTGTATAATTCACATATACTGCTAAAGCAGTAATTCTAAAAACATCATTTTTTTTTACATCCACAGAAAGGGAACTGGAGATGGAGGATGCCGAGCTCTGTCAGCTTCGACAGCCTCAGCCCTGAAGCGGCGAAGCTGAAGGAATTGCTTGGACTGTACAACCGGCTCTAAATATATTTCAGCGCTCGTTTTCTGTCGCTTGAACTTACAGAAATCTGTCATAAAAATAATTGAGCAATGCAAACATTTTGGCTGCAAGTATTGTTCTGAGACTCTGGTATACCTGTCATATAATAAAGCGTTGTACCATGTTTGTGTCATGCTGAATGGTGAGAGTCGCTGACTGATTTCGCGATACTCCAAAAGCAGAGGTAAATACTCCCTCCATTCTATAATATAAGGCACAAACACTTTTTTTTAATGTTCCATAATACTCTCTCCGTCCCAAAAAAAGATAAACTCTGGTTTCCGTGTCCAATGTTTGACCGTCCGTCTTATTTGAAAAAAATATGAAAAAAATTAAAAAGACAAGTCACGCATAAAATATTAATCATATTTTATCATCTAACAACAATGAAAATACGAATTATAAAAAAATTTCATATAAGACGAACAGTCAAAGTTGGACAAGGAAACTCAGGGTTTGCCTTTTTTTTGGACGGAGGGAGTATAAGGTATGAATGCATGCATGCCATTAAGTATGACATTCTTCATTATATTACTACTTTTTTAAATCCTTCACTCCCACATTCGCTAACTCTATTGGATGCATACATTATATTTATTAGGATGATTCAATCTACAAGATTATAATAATTATTTCTTGGTCTTTGTGTTAAGAGTGGTTGTGCCTTATATTTTGAAAAAGATTATAATAATTATTTCTTGGTCTTTGTGTTAAGAGTGTTTGTGCCTTATATTTTGGAATAGAGTGAATACTAATGAATGGCTACTACTCCAAAAGCGGATTTAAAACAAATTTTTAAAGAAATTCCTATCTAGAATGTTGCTCCGAAAATCCTAGCAAGCGTGCCGCTAAAAATGGGATGGTTTTCTCCTTGGAAAGGAACACATATGCAATGGGAAATGGTGAGTACCACTCCATATGTTAAGTGTTAACTACTCCCATGATTTTAGACTTGTCGTTTCGAATACCCTCGATATTCCGTTATATATCCCCGTTAAACCGCTTCGTCTCCATCTCTTCCTCCTCCCGTCGCCGCCGCCCATGGCGTCGTCGCCTTCTTCCACCTCCACGCCGTCGTCGACCATCGAGAGGTTGCGGCCTCCTTATCCCCGATCCATCTCATGTCATGCCTCAATTCACTCGACTAACCTGTGGTGGCGCAGGCTCCATGAGATGCCGCTGATGGAGAGCGAGGAAGCCCGCGAGATTCTCGCGGCGCTGCGCGAGAAAGACAAGGACGACCCCGAGGGATTCTACGACCACAAGGTCGCCGCCGCCGATGGCCGGATGGAGGGGATCTTCTGGGCGAGCTCCGGGCTGGGCTGGGACTACGTCTACTACGGCGAGGTCGTCGTCTTCGACACCACGTTCCGGACGAACAGGTGCGGCGCGGCGTTCGTCCCGTTCCTCGGGATGAGCCGCCACCGCCGCCCCGCCGTGTTCGGCTGCGGCGTCGTCGCGGACGGCTCCGTCGACTCGTGCGTCTGGCTGCTGCGCGCGTTCAAGGAGTCGATCCAGGGGGATGTGCCCAAGTCCGTCATCACCGACGGCGGCGACGCGGTGGTCGCCGCCGTCAAGGCCGTGTTCCCGGAGTCCAACCACCGCGTGTGAGCGTGGCACGTGGAGCGGTGGGCCGGGGAGCACCTCGTCGATGGCCCGGCGCGGGACGACTTCTTGTCGCTGGCGCGCGACGCGTGCTCGCCCGCGGCGTTCGACGAGCGGTGGAGCGTGTTCATGGCGGAGCACCGGACAGCCGAGAACGAGGGCTGGCTGGAGACGATGCACGCGACGAGGGAGCTCTGGGCCGCCGCGTTCACCCGCCACAAGCTCTTCCTCGGCATGGCGAGCGACCAGCGGACGGAGTAACTCGCCACGGGCCTCCACACGGGCCTCGCCGACGACATGTCGCTGCACGACCTGGTGCGCCACGCCGACTACTGGACCTGGCGCCTGCGCGCCGACGACGCGGCCTCCATGTCCCGGCTGCCGCTGACCACCAATCACCAGTTCCTCGAGGCGCACGCCGCGCGGCGCTTCACCCCGGCCAACTTCCACCTCGTCCGCGAGGAGATCGAGAAGATGGACGGCTTCGTCGTCGTCGACACGCTGCCCACCATGTCCAGCCCCGACGTAAAGATCTACCTGCTCGCGCCCAAGCAGGAAGCCGCCGCCGGCGAACCCTTCGTGGTGCAATGGTGCGACCGCGGCGGCGCGCTCGGCACCGACGACATGGACGACGGGAAGATGGCCGTGACGTGCAGCTGCCGGAAGATGGAGAGCGATCGCCTCCCGTGCCGCCACATCCTCCGCGTGATCACCCACCGCGGCGTGTCGCGGATGGCGGACTGCTTCATGCCGCGGCGGCACCGGCGGAATCTCGAAGCAAAGCTGGAGAGGGTGGAGGAGATGAAGGAGCTGTCGAGCAAGGTGTTCGACCTGGCGTCGGATGACGCGGGGGAGTTCGAGGATGTCATGGGGTTCATGGAGCGATTCCTGGAAGAGCGGCGGCTCGACGCCGCGTGGGAGCCGAAGCGCAGAGGCCATGTCGGCGTCGACACCGACGACGACGAGGGCGACTCGCCGTCGACCAAGAAGATCAAGTTGTCCGACGAGTGAGCATTTGAAAGATTATCAAACAACCCGTTTCACTGTCAAACTCTATCTACCGAGTGTGGTTTTATTTATTTATTTACTACTTCGAAAAAAATGTTCGTGTGTTGCAATTGGTGAAGGCTATTTTAATCTTATTATTCACTGTGGGAATTCACTTCGTTATATATATTTTTAGAAAATCATAAGCTTCAGTTAGGAGTCCGATCGTCTCATGTTAGCATGCGAGTTTTTTTTTATAAAGAGATTTCTTAAACGACTTCTTCTGTATTTCTAAAAGCGAACAAATTAAACCGAATCAAATAAACATATGTATTTCTAAAAGTGAACGAAATTAAAAACCGACTCGAACTCATTAGACGTACTGTAATATACTAGTAGAGATTGGCTGTTTGATATGTGTCGCTTTGATAATGTCGAGGGGGGAAAGTATTCAAAACCTCTGAAGGGACGTCTCATCGTTGTTTTATATGTCTCTTAAATGGTTATAAAAAATTAAAAAAATTCAACAAGATAGATTATTAGTATGTGATAGATTACTTCACAAACATGTAAGGTCAAATTTAATTTCTACACATTGTAACAGAAAAATATATATTTAACTGTCAATATACGTTTACTAGTTGTATTTTTTTTGCAACTTGTAAAAATTCAATTTTAACTTGCATTTTTATGGAGTGGTATATCACATGTTAATAGATATTCTCTTTTTTTTTCAAAATTTTTTATAACTATTTGAGTAAGATGAAAAAAAATAGAGAAGGTATCTCCTTGAGAATTTAGAATCCACCCCTAATGTTGAGTCCTTTTGTACCGTTGAAAAATATATTTGTTGAGATTCGTGCTAGTCTTGTTGAGATATCCATTGTAGCACAGGTGGAATGGTTGCGGGAAGATGTGCGGTGGCAATAGGGATGGCACGGGGCGCAATGAATGCTCAATCTCGTATGGGACCCCTCTCCCCCCCAAATGGTGGTCCAGAATGGCGGCAGCCCGTGCCTTGCTAATGCCCTAGCCTCCAACCACCACCCCCGCGGTCCACACGCACGCCGGCACGCCGTCCCCCCGTCATATGGTCACTCCTCAACCGAGCCATCTCCCTCCCTCACCCATCTCCACCTCCCTTGCATGGAGGCCAGGCAAGCTCGACCTCAAACGGGTTCGCTAGTTGCCTACCCCTCCCTTTCTCACCTTCACCTCCCTTGGCCACCTGCCCCCGCTGGCCACTATGGTTCACACACACCTCGTCCGCGCGCACACTGCCCCTGTCGCACAGTTGCTCCTCAATGACGCCATCCCACTCCCTCACACGACGGTCGGGTGAGCTCGAGCTCCGACGGGTTTGCCCACCACTTCCTCCTCCCTTTCCCACCCTCGATTCCCTCGACTATTCCCTGTGGCGCCCTAGCACGGCAGGAGCCCGCGCCATCTTCTCTGAGCACCCATCACGACTGGGCACCATGGTCCATGTGCACCTCGTCCACCCAGAGTGAAATGAGCGAAACACTCGGCAAGGTCGAGCACAGCGGCGGCATGCGCCGACGACAACAAGGAAAGGGAAAGAGATGAGGAAGGGAGAGAAGATAGGAAAAAGAGAGGGTGATGATATGGGTCCCACTATAATTTTTTTATTTTTAACCAAATACTCATTGAGTTGTGGGTCCCATGATTTTTTCTGACTTTAAATGCCACATCAACGCCACGTTAGCTGAAATCGTCATCCAAACCGCCTTGGGAGCTTATTTGTACTGGTTTTGCGAGTTGAGTAATGTGCTATACATGGTATTACGGTTTTCAGATAAATTTCAGACTCGGCAACAAATTGAGGGACGTAAAGCGAACTTATTCACCCCTAAAAGAAGTGTTTACCTTATTCCTGAATATGTGCTTTCCTGCTCCATACTGACTGCAATCGGCACATTAATCTGCAAAACGGTTACGGCCTAGACCACGAAGTTTCAGCCCGTATTCGCCCAATTCGCAAATACGGGCTGAAACTCCCTCCAGCAACTCCCAACTCGCTCGCCCTCCCCTCTGCTTCAGTGCTTCTCTCCCCAAGAAATCAAGAACCAGTAGCCTCTCCACCAAGATCACGAAGAACCTCCTCCAGCCTGACCGAGCGATTCTTTCTCCCTCCCTTTCCTTCTTCGCGTCCGCCTCTATGGACAGCGCGATCTTGCGCCACCTCATCGAGGCGCTCTTGGAGCGTCAACCGATTCTCGGCGAGGACTCCACTTTCTTGCGTCGAGCGCTGGTGTTCGGAGGTGTAGCCTCCATCATATCGCCGGTACACCTGGAGTCGTTCTTCACCCGCTATGGAGTTGTCATAGCGACCGTCCTGCTACGAGATGCTACCAGATGCGAGCGCGTTGGCATGCTGGTGTTCTCCGCAGAGAGCGATTGCTTGTATGCGGCGGAGATGGAGGCGGCTCGTCCAGGCGCATACCTGATGATTTCCAGGGTACAACCACCGCTTCTCTGCTTTTCTTCCCCATCCGTTGTTGTTGAGGCATTTCTTGGGTGCGAGATGTTGATCGCGGCGGTGTTCTTGGTTCAATGATTGCCCAAATTCTTGGTTCTTGGGAGTTTTGGACCGTGAAATTTGAGTTCTCCCGATTTATTCATGTTCGATTCTCTGTTCTGGTTCTGAATCGGTCTCTGCGCTTTGTTCATGTCCAGATTCTTCGCCGGGACTTCATGTCAAAATTCTCCGTATTTTTGGTTCTGATTTCTGAATTGGCTTCTGCGGATGAATGTTCATGCTTCTCCCGCTTTGTTCATGTCCTAATTCTTTCTGTTCCGGTTCTGAATTAGTCTCTGCAGGTGAATGTTCATGTTTTCTCCCGCTTTGTTCATGGTCAAATTCTTTGAATTGGTTGCTGCAGGTGCCTGTTCATGTTTCTCCCTTTCCCGTATTGTTCGTTTCTTTGATTCTCTGAATCGGTTGCTGCTGCAGGGTGAATCTTCATGTTTCTCTTGCTTCATTCCACTTCTGATGCTCTGAATCTGTTGTTCTTGTAGGTTGATGACGAGATTCTGCATAATTCGGTAAACCTTGTGAAGGATGCAGCCGACCAGCAGAGCCAGCGGTGCTCCACCGCCGAGGCATTCCGTCGAATGGTTCCCTGGCGATATCTGAAAGCAGACGCCCAGGAGGACATCAACTTGAGGTGCCTGCTGCTGAGGATGGGGGCAAGGAGCACGGCTACGCCCGGAGATCTGTACGGCGTCGCGAGGTCAGCGTTGGCAGCGACCGGCAGAGCGTGCGCGGTGGTGGCTTACTACTCGAGCAGGAGGGATTTTGGACTATTTGCCATTCTTTTGAATGGTGTATTTTCAAATGCCATCTTCTCAAATGACTTTAACTATTTGCCATCTGACCTGCTATATTGTTTCTATTTAGCCACTCTTGCTTGCCAACTCAGCAAGCCTGTGTGACAAATGACTTCACTACCCCCGTCTTTTCGGTTCTTCCTCCGCATTCTTCTTGCGACGGTGCCGTCTTCAAGCGGACCTCGCCACTTCTTGATCCGACGGCGATGGCGAGTTGGCGACTGCCTACACGGAAGGGCGTACTGCCCGTGACCGGTGACCGCTACCTTGGCTTTTATCCGATTCGCGGGCAACCGCTCGGACGAGCAATTCTCATCAGTTATCAGGTAAATCGAACTGTCAAGCTAGCAGAGCGACAAAGTTCCCATGATGGCAGAGAGCGCTTTCGTGTTGCATATTCGGGTAGAGCCAACATGAAGCATCGAAGATAAAGAGAAGAAAACACACTAAAGAAAAAAAGACCAAGCTTTCGATCGAGCGCTGCATTAAGTAAAGCAATCAACAGTGGCACTCATTCAACCCTCCAGATTAATTACTTGCATATATACCAAATTACCAATCGACCAAGCAAACAAGCAAAGCAATAGCTTCTTCACTTGACGAGGCCGGTGATGGCACAGTCTGCGAACTGCAGATGGGAAAGGAGATGAGGGACAGTAAGGTCATTTGTCACACAAGTTTGCTGAGTTGGCAGGGAAGAATGGTAAAATAGAAAGAATATAAAGAGTCGGATGGCAAATAATCAACATTATTGAAGAAGATGGCATTTGAGAGTGCGCCATTAAAGAAGATGGCAAATAGTTCAAAATCCCCGAGCAGGGAGGCCATGGTGGTGTTCGACGAGTCCAGGGACATGGAGCGATGCGGCAGCAGGTCCGCCGAGCTGGTCGCCTTCCACCTCGGCCTCTACGATTCGGGGCTCTTCCCCTTGGTCGCGGACGGCGCCGGCGGCCATGGCGTGGTGACGCGGGACCTCCTCCCGCTGTTCTGCCTCTCGCCGGACTTCCTTGGCCGCGTCGCCCTTCTCAGGGGACCCGGCATCGCCGAGCTCGACGCCGGCGAGGTGTGCAGTCGCGTGGAGGAGCTCACACTTTTCAAACTGCTAAACGGTGTGTTTTTTGCAAAAGGTTTATATACGAAAGTTGCTTAAAAAAATCAAATTAATCTATTTTTGAAAAAAAATAGCTAATACTTAATTAATCACGTGCTAATGAATTGCTCCGTTTTCCGTGAGTACTGTTCCCGGTTGGGAACAACCAACTGCGAACACATCCTTAGAGAAGATTGGTGTGTGTACAACTGTAGGTTTCTTTCAGCCTTTTGGTTCTGTTCATTCATTCATTCAGTTGGGTTCCTGGTCCTGGTATGATCATATCTGTCTCTGAACAGCCCTTTTGATGATCGATTGAGTGTGCTCTGTAGTTGCAAAGTTTTATGTTTTGTACTAGCTTTTTGCTGCTGCTACTGTAACCATATTGTCCCTTGCAGTGCAACTTGCTGAAAGAAAAAAAAAGGAAAGAAATGAAACTTTCAGACTCAATTGCTGCAAAATCTTTGCTTCTGCAATGACATTCTGAAAATTCAGTGTTTAAACAGTAGTACAGTTCTATGTTCATGCTTGATAGTACAGAACTACAGATTGTGTGTGTAGGCTTGTTTGTGTATGTTTGTGTGTAGTGTAGTATAATTCCACTTGATGTTCATGCCTGGTGGTTACATATTGCAGTGTCTGTGGTGTGTAGGCTTCAAAATTATGAAAATGATACTCATCACCAGAAGTAGTTTTAGACTGTCAGTAAAGATGTGTGGTACAGTTTTTGGATGCGTTTAAA